TGCAAGTGTTTTATTGCCTGGGAGTTTATCCAGTTTGTGGACTCTTCTTTAAAAATCTATATAATTACATAGTCAAAATTACATTCAGTTTATTTTAAGTGGGCCATGCATTTGAGGGTCCTTGAAACTGAAGTTTCATTGTTCTAGAATAAATTCACTTCTGGGTACATATGTAGTAAAATATGATAAGATTGGTATATTGGGTTGGAATTTCAGAAACACTGCAGTTTCAGAAATGGGGACCTTGAGCTAGCCCTTAAATGCTAGAATTTGGAAAAGTAGTCTGGAAAACAAGGAATATGTGCACTTCTTCCTGTGATTCCTTTTCTGGTAAATTCCACTTTGTGAGGTTGTTAGGTTTAGATATAATGTAAATAAATATTGTTATTGCAGTGTCTGCAAAAAAATAAGTAGGTCGCTAGTAATTAAGTATTATCAGTGGGGAAAAAGGAAGTATAAAAAATGCTTGGAATATAGTACAAAGTGGTTTGGAGTGGCAGGGAGTCCAGAATGTACAGCCTGATCTTGGGAACAGTGGAAAAATAAATTTAATTGGAGATGGGTTTTATTTAGGAGCAAGATGGATCAGTAGTCTTTGGTTTGTAAAATTGTGTCCAGATCGTAGAGAGGTACATGAATGCTTCTTTTCGTGAACAGTTCATTTTGCTTACTGAAGCATTTGGCAAAATTTTGCTTTGGATCGTGAAACTCCACATCAGGTGATGAAAAGGACAATGGCCATCTACCCCACATGAATGCGAATGCAGCCATCTTCCCCAGAATTGTAGAACAAATTAAGTTCATGAACCAAGCTAGCACTGAATAGATTTATGCTGTCCAATATGGTAGCCACTAGTCACATTAAGGTTAAAAATGTTTCTTCAGGGCCCGGGATTTAGCCCAGTGCTTCCTCTGCCTGTCTCTCAAGTGTTGTAAGGTCCTGAGTTCTATCCCCAGTAGACCTAAAAAATCTTCTTCAGTCACTTTAATAGTCCTGTATGGCCAGCATAGATGCAGAGCATTTTCCTCATCACAGAGTTTTGTCAGACAGCATTGAACTAGACATGAAGTGCAGAACGTAAGTGCTGTGAGAATTCAGAAGGCAAGGTTATATGTGTAACTTTAGAATAACAAGGAAATAATCCATAGAGGAGGTGGACCTTGAGTTTTAGACATTTGATTAGCAGAAAAAGGTGGGAGACATTTTAGGGAGTTTAGGAGTGAGTGGGTAGAAGAACTACATTGAAGACTTCTTGATTAGTTGTTAAAAAAATGCTTAGAAGTTTGAATAGTGTATACCAGTTTGAAAAATTTGGCATTCATCTGTTAAACTATCTGAAAATATCATGTACTGTATTTGGAACGTTAATCAGCACTTGTGCCCCCCCAAAACATTAAAAAGGCAGAAAGATTTTTAAAAAAGAAGAAAAACAAAAACCAGAGTTTAAAATAATTGGAAAGTGAATGAGTCTGTGTATGTAGTAAGGTGGGGCAGGGCAGGGCTGAAAAGGAAAAGATTACAGATGTAAATTTGGGAGTCATCAGTTTAAAAGTAAGAATAATTATCCCACTCATATTATTCATGTTGAGACTTCTTTGAATCTTTAGTTGTAAGCAGTTGTACAACCTCTGAAGTCTTTGAGATTTTTCTAGGTGAGAGGTTCCCAGTCCTTTGGGTTCAAGATTAAATTCTTTCTGGCAGTGGTGAAGAAGCTATGGCCATTTGTGTTATTGGAAGCTCTAAAAGGTTCACTATCACTGGTTTAGGGGAATAATTTTTTATTATTTAGTTTGGATGATTCTTTTAGATGATTTTAAAACTATTACATGGGAAAACTTTTATAAAATACAATTTGGTACAAAAATCTCAAAATACCACGTATCAGTTTCATATTGTTTAAATTTATACTATTTACTTAATTGTCAGTGTATGTGTAAGAATCTGAGAATATTGGTGAAGCCAGCTTTGAGTTTGGGGTGTGAGCAGTCTTGTTTTGGCCTTAAAATGCAATTATATTTCTGTATTTTATTTGTTTTGTTCTTTTGAGACAGGGTCTCACTATGTAGTTGAGACTAACTTGGAACTCACTATGTAGCCCAGGCTGGTCTTGAACTCACAGCGATCCTCCTGCCTCAGTCTCCTGAATGTTGGGATTACAGGCCTGTGCCATCACGCCCAGCTTTTTTGGTTTGTTTTGTTTTTCTGTATTCTATTCGTGAAGTATTGTGACTATCCAGTACTGATTGATAAGCTACGCAAAAGTTGTTTTTTGTTTGCTTTTTTAAACTTGCCTTGCTATCCATCTCAAGACACTCTGTTGGACAGAGATGTCAGGAGAAACTTCATTCTCAGGTCTACCCCAAATTGAGTTACCTCAAAGGAGTACAAGTTAATGTGTTGGTGATCTTTAAAGGACTAAGGCTTGATTTAACACATAGGAGTATTTATTTATACATTTTAATGCATTTTTAAATGTGAAAAAAATAAATGAAGTACTGAAGAATTCTATGACCCTATAGTTGGCTTTTTAAATACTATATTTAAATGTTCTTGCTTCTACCTCTGAGGTGTTTTCTAATATTTTTTTCCCCCTGAAAATTAAGAACTCTTTAGAGGAGCCTTTTCCAAGTGTATTCCTTGTTAATAATTATTTCTGTCAAAACACTAGATTTTAAACATTGTTTAAAAGATTACTACAAAACTTCTCAGTATCTTTAATGTGCATTGTGACCCCTAGAGGAGGCTTATAAAGAACTCAGTGTTTCGCTGGGCATAGTGGCACACACTTGTAATCTCAGCTGTTTGGGAGGCTGGCCTTGGTAGGAGGATCATCAGGTTGAGGTCAGTCTGGGCAACTTAGTGAGACCCTGTCTCAAAATAAAAAGGGCTAGGGATGTAGTTCAGTGGTAAAGTGCTTTTCTAGCATGTATGAGACCCTGACTGGATTCAAGCCCTGTAACCACAAAATAAACAAATCCAACAAAACCAGTTTCCCAAACTTGATCTTCAGATCACTTCAGGTGATTAGTGAATGAGTAGGATTGATAGACATAAGTTAAGATCATAGCACTCTTTCCAGAATGAGAAGACGGGTCAGGAGAGATAAAAGGAAAAGAAAACTGGATGCTATTAGCTTTGTTTTTGTTTGTTTGTTTTACATTATTTGATCTCTCTTCCCCTTTGAAATCTTCTTTTTCCTCCTTGCTCTTTTCTCACTCATTGTCCTGAGGTCTATTCCTACAGTTTTTCTCAGGATAAAGTTCAGTAGTATTTTCATTTCAGAAAGTTTTCTCTGTGAGGTGGTCATTTGAGACAGATCATTTATTTGCAGTTAGATTTTCAGCTTATTAAGCATAATGATATATCATTTATAAGTTTTTTTCGTTGTGTTGTGCACTCATTGTTTAGTGTTTCAGTAGGTGGATATTGTACAATTATTCATACACTAAACTTAAGATTCCTAGAGCATCTTGGTTATTAGTCAGTTTATCTTTAATTTTTGTTTCTACTTTCTAACTCAATATCGTTGTTCATTGCAGTTTTTTTTCCTTCCCTTACGTACCCTCCATTCCCCAAATCCTAAAATACTAGAAGAAAAAGAATAAAAAGTAACCAGCCACCTGGAGCTAGCTCAAAGACATCCTAGAAAATTAAAATAGATTCTTTTCACTGTGATTGTGGGATGATTCATTTTGGAAATTAATATGTTAGATATGGTAGATGTTGTTGTTCTCCATCTCTATATCTAATTTTTATTTATTTCATCTTTTTATTGAATCAGTAATAATTAAAGAGCTGTATATTCTGTGGCTTTCTGGAATCCAGTCATAGTTCGACAGTGTTCCCATGTCAACTATTTATAATACATATGCTCTTTTTTAAAAAATCGGATTGGGGATTGAACCCAGGGCCTCCACAGTGAGCTACATCTCTGACCCTTTCTTATTTTTGTTTTGAGTCAAAATCTCACTAAGTTGCTCAGATGGGCTCAAACTTTCAATCCTCCTGCCTTAGCCTCCCACAATGCTGGGATTACAGATGTGTGTCACCATACCAGGCTACAAGTAGCCTTTTGGCCAGCAAGTCCATCATACAATCAATTTTCCCTGTTCTGCATTCCTTTGCCCCCAGTGACACATTCACTAAGTGCATCCACTCTTTACTGATAACCTGGTTCTCTCTTGTGAATTAAGAGTAAGACCTGTAGCTTCAATTTCCGTGTCATTTGCTCCTTATAATTTGTTGTAGTAAAGAATCTTTGCTCATCATTCACCTTGTCTAGGTACCTTTTGAAGGAAATGCACCTTTTAATAGTTTCAGGTTAACTCTTGGCTGTGCAGCATTTACCTCCTCCCCGTCATTTGGTTTCTGGAATTATTTTGCTGTTTTCCCATGGAGTACTTAAAAACATTGGCTTTTTGTTAGACTTGGTATTCTAGTTGACTATATTTTCATCAGAGATACAGCTGTTTTTTTGAAAGTTCCAAAATACAAGTATGATACATATACACTGAAAAATAAAACAAAACACTCAGGTGTAGAGAGCCTCAGAGTGTGATTTGAATTGGTCGTTGTTACTATGTGAAAGTTATAGATCAAGCTAAACCTGAACTAAGATTGTTTCATGAGGCCTTTGTTTATAGTAAGTTCCTATTACAAACTAGCTTGTTTCTTGTTATATGCTTATTTCCCTTAAAATTTCAAATTAGAAAGCCATTCATATTTACTAATAGTTCCATGTAGGCTCCCTGGTTTTATTTATTTGTTTGTTTGTTTGTTTGTTTGTTTGTTTATTGGTTTTTTGAGACAGAGCCTCACTATGTAGTTGAGACTGACCTGGAACTCACTATGTAGCCCAGGCTGGTCTCAAACATGCAGTGATCCTCCTGCCTCAGCCTTCCAAGTGCTGGGATTACAGGCCTGCACCACCACGCCCGGCTCCCTGATTTTAGATGTTCACTGTACTTAGCTTTTCCTGTTACAATCTCTACATAGGTAGAGTACCGAGAGATGGATGAAAGCTTGGCCAACCTCTCAGAAGATGAATATTATTCAGAGGAAGAGAGGAATGCTAAAGCAGAGAAAGAAAAGAAACTTCCCCCACCACCCCCTCAAGCCCCACCTGAGGAAGAAAATGAAAGTGAACCCGAAGAACCATCTGGTGAGTTGTAGTAACCATTCACAGTTTCATCTTAGAAATAAGGATTAAATGGTTTTATTCCTATTTCACAGTGTTACTTATATTTTCATCTTTGGTGTGTATTCTGATATTGGGGCTCTTGCTCTCTGTGTCTTTACATGTGTGTATATGTATGCATACATAGTATAGTGCTGATAGTCTTTTATGTATGTCTGTACACATGTAGAAAGAAATGAAAGGATGGGGTTAGAAGGACGTGGCAGTACAAAGCATTTTGAAAGTAGGAGAAAGTAAATGGTTGTAGAAAACACACAAAATGACAAATCCTAAGAATCCCATCACTGACTCAGAACTTAAAGGTAGAATGTTAAGAGAAATTGTTTTGACTAAATTATGCCTTTACAACATACATTCTTTCTGCTAAAACTTTCATGATAATGGGTGTTTTGAGAAATGCCTATTCCTGGTGAAGAAATGTTAAATAAATATTCATTTATTCTAATGTCTAAAGAAGAATATATTGAGTGCCTGTAAATGTTTAGTTATTTAAGACACATTTTTTTTAATGTTTAGTTATTGACCCTCCAGCCAAAAGAAGGATCTGAGAAAGACTATGAAGTAAGTCTTAGCTAGCACAAGCTTCCTTAAACCAAGGAAACAATGGTAGAGTCTCCAGTATTGGTTTCAGAGTTTCAAGCAGCTTTAAAGAATTTCCGGTAACATTCCCAGCCTTGAGTCTTGGCTCACTGAGATATTCAGCCCAGTGGGGTACCCTTTTGTTCTAGAGAAATCAAGTGAAAACCAAAATCTTAAGTAATGTTTTGTGCCTTTTTTGATACCGGAGATGAACTGGGGTTCTTAAGTTTTGCAAGGCAGGTGGCAGAACCACTGAGCTAAATCCCCACCCCTGTGTCTTTTCTTCCTAATGACATTGCATTATTTCTTCTTGACTTTGAGTTTTTTACTACGTTCCTCTTTTTGAAATAATTTTTATATTTCCTTTACTTCCAGGTTTACTCACCTCACCAATTCTTTTAGCTCTCTCTATATATATATATATATTTTTTTTAGCAGCTCTATATTCTTTAAAAACAAAATGCTGGGTTTCAGGTCCATCACTGTATCTGGCGTTACTTTCCTAAAATATCCAGATTATGACATGTTTTGACAAGTTTTCTTTTGGCTTTCTTTGGTAGTATTTTCTTCTCTGTGAGGTTACTATGAATTAGTAGAAGTTTTTTTTTTTTTTTTTTTTTTTTTTTACCAGTATGCTTCATATGAGAGGATTAAAAACAATTTTTTTCTTTTCTTTTTGGTACCAGGGATTGAACTCGGGACCTTTGACTTGCAAGGCAAGTGGTGGAACCACTGAGCTAAATCCCTGGCCCTTCTTTCTTTTCTTTGTAGTACTGGGTTCGAACCCAGGGTCTTCCCACTGAGCTACATACTCAGCGCTTTTTATTATTTTTGAGATAGGGTCTTGCTCAGTTACTAATTTTTCTAGTAGGCTGGGCTCCAACTTGCCATCCTTCTGCTTCAGCCTCTCAGACTGCTGGGATTATAGGTGTGCAGTAGCACACCTGGCTGAGTAATACAAATTTATAATTTACAGGATTGAAATAAAGTATCAAAGTAATACTGTTTGAAAAACAGAGAGAAGTTAGATTCTGGGTTCACTTTTAGCACAAGAGTGATAGGTTTTGTTTTTGTTGTTTTTTAGAAGAGTAGTTTTCCTAAAACTGTCTTGAAGTGATTTGTTGGGTAACTTCTCATCGGAAGGTTAATTATAGTCTCCATGGTACATTACCTTTGGGACCAATAACCCCAGTCGAGTGAGTGAGAGAGTGTAGGTCCCTTTGTACATCAACATCATTTCTATTGTTTTTCTTTTTCCTTGTGTGGTAGTCTTCTACATTTAGTTCCCTTCCCTTCTTTCAGCTCTTGTCTCCAGCCTTTCTTTGTCCACTGCAAATTTGAAGCTAAGTATTGGGTTTGGTGTTTTCTCTTTCTTGATTTTTTTTCGCAAATGTCAGGCATTATTCCTATAAAAAGTATCTTAGCAAAAAGGGATTTTGGAATTGGGGCAGCTGTTCTTATGCTGTGTTTTATAGTGCATTACAGTGCAATGCTTTAGTTTAAATAGGTTGTCTTAATCTTTTGTTTTTAGATTTTTGAGACAGAGTCTCACTGTGTAATCCAAGCTGGCCTTGAATTTGCTGTGCAGCTCAGACTGACCTTAGTGTATTACAGCTAGGTATCACCACATCCTGCTATCCTAGTCTTTTGCAGGAAAGTTAAAAGTTTTAAATTGAGGCCATCTATAGTGCTTAGAGGACACTTTGGTGATAGCCAAAATTGGCCAATATATTATTGGTGATAACAAAAATGTATTTTTTCTCTAAGCCAAGCATGATAGCACACACCTGCAATCATTGCCCGCAGGAGGCTTGCTCTGAGTTTGAGGATAGCTAGTGCTGCGTAGTGAGTTGAAGGCCAGCCTGAGCTATCTAGTAAGACTCTCAAAAAAACTTATCTCCACCAACGCTGCTTCAAATTGTTATAAACTTAACTTTGCTCTCATTGGTGATAGCAAGAAAATATTTTGTTTTTCTTTAAAATAATTTAGAATCTTTTGAAAGTTTCTGTGGAGAATTAAGTATTTTTCCCTAGGAAGCATTAGTAACTTACTAGCCTCATAATTTAAAAATAGACTGTTTCCTCATGGTGAATTATAAAGTATTATCAGGTGAATTAAATATTTGGAAATTGTGCTGGGTTACCACATTTGTTATATTAGAAAAAGCTCTTTCACAAGTGTTTTCAGTTAAAAACTAAGTGGAAGCATTGTCATATAGAATTACTAAAATCTTGGAAGATGTGTTTGTTTCCTTATCAAACCCTTTCTTTATTTCAGTCATTTGTTTAGTAGTTAATTTTATAAAATACATATGTAATGCTTGCATAAATTTTATTACCAACTTTTGAATTTGTTTAGAAAAGTTAATTTTGCTATTGATAGTATTAATTTTAAAAAGAAAATATTTTGTCACTTATGAAAGCATGAAGTATTTAGAGGTCAGCGAGTGAAATAATTTGACTGGAGAAAGTTCCTCTAAGGAGAGGACCTAGGAGGAAGCTGGAAAGGGGATTGGGAGCCCTAATGTGGAAGCCTGGCTGGCCGGGGAATTTGAGCTAAGCTAGGAGACTGGGGGTGGTTTTGTTTTTGTTTTTTCTTTGCAGGGCAAACAAGCTGGTGCCATTGCCCCAAGCTATCCCCACCCCCACTGCCACCCTTAAGTGTTGAGGGCTTTTTGAGGGGGGCAAGAGAGGTTGTACTGAAATACTTTAGAAAGTGATCTGATGTGCTCTGTTAAGACAACTAACAGAGTAAAGAGACAGACTGGAAAGGCTGTTGTGGTAGTTGGGTTTAGCAGGTTTGAGTCCAGGGACATTTTTCTCATTATCAGAGTATATTTGGAGGGGGGTTGAGGTGCTGGGAATTGAACGATTGGCCTTGCTTATACAAAGAATGCGTTTTACCATTAAGCCTCACCCTCAGTCCCTAAAGTCTCATTTTTAAAATGAGAATAAAAAGTTGTTTTTGTCTGGTTGGATTTATTTTATTGGAGGAGTTCTCTGTTTTGGCTTAAACACTTTTTAGTTTTTCAGTTTTTTAAAAAAGACAACATTATTTAGAAATTAATAAACATTCTTTTATGTAGTTGCAAAACAAAAGGAAAATTAAAACTGAACATACAAATATTTTTAAAGTAACCCAAAAAAAGAGTACCTCACATCTTAAACCTATGATACATGTAGTCAGAAAAAAATAGTTTTAAAATTGTATATTATTATTTTTGAAAATACACAATTTGTATAACCTATAAAATTATATTTTTATTTTTAATTTTTTATTAGTACAGGTTTCTAATACATAACGATCACATTCTTTGTGAAGAATTGGTATATGTACATGACACATCTTAATTCTTTTTTTTTCGAAATCCCTTTCTTACCTCTTTCCTACATCTCAGATTTTCAATTTTTTTTTCTTTTTGGTACTAGGGATCAAACTCAGGACCTTGTGCTTGTGAGGCCAGCGATGGAGCGCAACGGAGCCACTGAGCTAAATCCTGGGCCCTCAGATTTTTAATTTTTAACCATAACTTAATGTAACATTGTAGTCCTGTTGATGATCAAAATAGATAATTTTTTTTATTTGTTTATTTTTATTAAATAAGATGTTGATATTTAAACCTATCTGATTTTGTGTTCTTAAAAATTTCCATGTATTTTTATATTTATTATCTTGCTTAATATATTTGTTTTAACAAATGATGGGTTTATTTGGTTTCTCAGTATTTTTTCTGTGAGGATGAACATAGGTTTTGCTTGAGCAGATTGCATTAGAGTTGTGTGTTTATTAGTAGGGTCACATAATTTCTATAAAACAGTATATTCAATTGGACGTTCTGATTTAGAATAATTGCCCTGAAAGAAGTGGCCTTCTTTCAGAAAAAGTCTGTTTTGCTTTCGTGGATATTTGTTACCTTATGTACCTTAGTAGATCATTCTTCAGTTTCACATTAGTGAGACTTTAGTGTTCACTGGCTTCCTAGCACTTAGCTTTTTTGATTTTCATATAAAAACATGTTTTTGATTTTTTTTCTCCTCATGTCTTTTCGCAGTTGAAATTTACCAGAAAATCCTTACTAAATAGCTTCTGGAATTGTGTTTTCTCTAGAGAGATCTGGCTTGGGAAGATATATTCTATTTTGAGTTAGAAGTAGCTTTTTTGTTTTTTGTTTTTTGTTTTTTGGAGACAGGGTCTCACTATGTATTTGAGACTGACCTGGAGAAGTAGCTTTTTTATGCATAGCTCGAGACTTTTATGGAAACATTAAAATAAAAGGAAATTTGAAATGGAATATCATGATGTCTTTCTCAAAGCTTCCAGTAAATGGGTTTCTCAATAGAGAAATTAGGGGCCTGTGTGTAACAGCGAGTGCATGTGCTGACCA